ATTCTTACAGTTTTTCCTTAACTTTTCCCTCAACTGACAAAATATAAATCAATTTAGCTTTGTGTTACAACTTAGACATTTTCATAGAAAATATACATTGTGCTTGTAAAGAAATTCTGGACACTGTGAGACAATAATTCCTATTTCTGAAAGAGTGAGAGAAGAAGAAGAATATTTTCTGTGACACTGCAATATGACTCGTGAATTGACATTCAGATTTATGGGACTGATGTATGTGAGCAGGCACAAGTTAGTTTAATAAAAGACGTAGCTTCCCAGCTGGTCTCTTGATTGATGAAGGGTGTGTTTGTAAAATCACAATGTACTCCGTGAGTCTGTGCATACACGTTTCTAATCTGAGATTTTAAATCACCTAGTGCATTTCAATCAAAACCAAAATTGGCTTTCTTGCAAAAAAATTTCAGTTACTGAGACAATTACGTTTCTTTAGAATAATCAACAAATATTATTAGTGTCATAAAATTGTAGCAATTAAAATTTAACAGAACAGCTGAATTCAAATAGTAAGATCCAAGGAAAATCTTTTCCACTTGTCTTACTTTGTTAATATTTCTGTTTTTCTTACTTTGTCAGTGAAAGGCATATATGTGTAATGTTTGGCACTATAAATTCTTTCAACTTATAAAAGTAGGGGAAAATATTAGGAGAAATTTTAAATTCACCACTCACTCAATGTTTTAAAGTATGTCTTTCTAAGTTACCTTCTCTAAAACTTGTCCAGTTCTAAGATACTCTCATTATTTTTGTTTTCATTTCTTTCCTAGAACATTCATATATTTATTCATTTATACCTTCATTAGTTTATTCATTACTTAATTTGCTCATTTGCAAAAGGTCAGAGACAAATACAACATTATCTCCTTAAGAAATGTACAGTTCCCTGAGGAAACGGACATGAGAATAAGCATATGAATATCACCTTTGGCTGCAGCGTTAACTCCTGCGGGAATCAGGAGGAGCCTCACAGAGATGGTGCGAAATATCTGTAAAATTGAGTAAAGGTTTCTGCAGGAGATTTCAATGTGACGGTTCCTTCAGGGATCCTCAATTAGGTGATAAGGATCTAGACTAAAATCAGTTCTGATTAATATTCATTCCCCACGGTTTCTGCGGTAAGATACTGTTACAACTTTTTATTGGCCTGCAGCTCCCACTTTAATAAATAAAGCCATGGGAGAACCCTGATGACAGTGGCTGAACCAGCTGAATTCTCTTGTCACCAAAGTCCGCTCGAGGCCAATCTTGGTCCCAGCTCCTCCTGCTGCTCTCCACTCGGCTTCCATCTGAATCGCGACCTTATGACCTCATGGTCAGTTAAAGAATGCCTCTCCACTTCCAGCCTCCTACCCTTGTTCGAGGAAAGGAGAAGAGGAAAGAGGTGAGATGGAGAGGCATCCAGACCAGGAAGACAAAACTTTACAAAGATGCACATCAGGCTTTCACTTATGTTTCACTGACAAAACTTCTCTGGGAGTCTTGGTAACATACTCTTTTTTTTTTTCGCTGAATACATTGTTTCCCCAAACAAAAATAAAAATTCTCTTTGTAGGGAGGAAGTTGAGAAATGGTACTGTTACGTAAGCAAATATCAGGATTCACAGGGAGGACCTAATATAGAAAGTGAAATTGGAATAAACACTCACACAGAAACCAGCCTGCACTGATGTGTGCTGAGTGCTTAAAGCTGTTGTGAACTTGCCAACAAATTATGAAAACTCCAAGGCTGAATTTCCTCCTTTTTTTCTTATGTGCCTCTTCCTTTTTATGGGATATGGAGTGTTAATGAAATGAAGGTTTTGTACACTTATGCGTGTGTGTGTGTGTGTGTGTGTTATAAGACACAGTGACAATGTACCCTTTGAAGTAAGATGGAGATATGGGATAACTTTGTTTCTATGATGCTAGTAGGTACCACACTGTCAATCAACAAAGCATTTATGACCCAGATTTGGCAATAATGACAGAACAGGACACCTACTCCACTTTTTGACCCCTGGGGAAGTAGGGTTGTATGGGAAAAAATAGCCTTTGTTGGACAAAGTTCTAAGTGAGCCAATGCCCTCTCTATATAACCAGATTTTACTGATCAGTACTTTATAAACTGGCTAGTAAATAATTGTTATGCTAAAACAAAAATCTGATTGGTGTGGGTTCAAAAGAGATGGAGGAGATGAAGTGGAGACAGACAAATAGACAATTCTTTCAGGTTTTACTATAAAAATAAGGTATTGTATTTGAAGGGTGAAGAGGAGTGAGGACTCAGGAATCATTAAAAATATTTCTAGCCTGAGAGACTGGATAATGGTGTCTATATTTAAGACTGATAACACAAGGCCCAGTAGAGGTTTTGGAAGAAGAATAACAGATCTGGTGTTTGGAGATTATTGAGAGATTTAAATGGCCCCCAGTGTCTATTCTCATCAGACTGTTAGAAATACAGATCTGAAGTTGATAAACTGCTTCGGGCTGGCTATATATATTTGGGAATTATTTATATATTAGTATATTTTCTAGGGCTGTTTAACAGATTACTGCAAACTTGTTAGCTTGAAACAATAGATATTTATTGTCTCATAGTTCTGGAGGCTAGAAGCCCAAAATCAAGGCCGTACTTTCTCTCCAAAAGCTCTAGGGGTGGACTCTTCCTTGCCCCTTCCTAGATTCTTGTGCTTATAGACACGTCACTCCAATTTCTGCATCTGTCTCCTTGGGGTGTTCTCCCCTGTGTTTCTGTATCTAAAATTCCCTTGTCTTAAAAGGACACTAGTCATTCTATGAGGGCCCACTCTCATCCAGGATGGCACCATCTTAACTTGATTACATCTGCAAAGACCTTATTTACAAATAAGGGCACATTCACAGTTACCAAGGGTGCAGACTTTGACAATCTTTTTGGAGAACATAATTCAGGCCACTGTAATATGCATGGCAAGAGAAGCCACAGAAACAGATGTATGTGGAGTGAGAACCAGACCAGTGATCGTCCCTTGGGCAGATTCCTCCTTGAGAGGAGAGCAAAGTAATAAAAGAGGGGACAAGGACATGACACGGTCAACAAGTCATAAAAAATCCTCCAGGAAAGTTGCATCCTGGCAAATGTATTTTAAGGAAGGGATTTGATAAGGAGATTAAAAATCTTTAGCAATTTCAGGTAGCATGAGTACTGGAAATCAACCACAGTAACTCTTACTAACGATGGGGAAGAACAAGTCTGGGGGCAGAAGATCATCTAGGAAGACACTGCAGTGATCCAGATAGATTATGATGGGTGCCTCAACCAGGATTGTTGCGGTGGGAAGAGAGAGGACTGGGCAGATCGTTGAAGTAAAATCAAAAGGAAGTGATGCTGGATTGAACATAGAATAGAAAAGAAGTCAAGGATGACTTCCAGAATTGTTTTTTTTTTTCCTTCAGCAAAGTGTGAGACTGGTTGGCATTGCTGAGGTAAACAACACAGCAAGTCCATGGAGAGGTTTCAGTTTTAAATATCTCGAGGATGTATTGTCCTATTTTCTAGTAGCAGAGTATAGTGTGTTGAGACTCAGAAGTGGATTGGATCCAACTGTGCATATTTGGGAACCATCAGAAAAGAAAGGTGATAAATGAAACCATCAGAATGGGTGGCATTATCCTGAGAGGCGGTAGATTTACACGAGGACATATCTGATGTATATGGAGGGATGAGAGGGGAAAGAAGAACCACCAGAAAGCGGGGAGAAGGGGTGAGTGGTCAAGAGGAAGACCAGGAGGACGTAGTGCTAAGAGACAAGAGAGTCTTCACGTCAGTGGGGTTGTGAACAGCATCAAAGGCTGTATAGATGGATGACAAGTAGAATGAGGGCTGAGAAGGGTCTGTAAGCTTAAAAAAACACAAAACGTGCACATGTGTGAATGTGTGTGTGTGTGTGTGCAAGTGTGTGTCTTCAGCGACAATCACTTTGGAGTATTAAATGGAGTTCTTGGCTGGAAAGAACTCTTTCAGTTATCTGAGCCTAAAGGAGAAGAGAATGGTGCCTACAGGTGAACATGACCGAATTGAAAGTGAGATTCATTGGCAAAACTAAAACTGACTGAAGAACCGATGGTGTTTGAAGTCTCATGGGGAAAATCCAGACAAAAGGGAGAGAGTTCAAAGAGAAAAGAGTATGGCGACCGACACATTTTCTGAAAAGACAAAACAAAAGAGAACGTCAGAGGGTTAGCTCACTTTCTATAAGAGGATGGTCACCCTTGCCACTGCAGCAGGAAGTAAGGAGGAAAGGAGGCTGTTGAGTAGAAATTGATGACAAGTAGGTAATTCAGCTAAGAGTATTCCTCCAAATTAAGTAGGGAGGAAGAACAAAATAATTTGAAGACATTAACCCTCTGACTTTCAAATGCCATTCTCGTGCTATTTGTAAGGAACATAGTGATTGCGTTTCTTCTGCCCTCTCCTGTTCCTCTTTGAGCATTCTGTGCTGTTAGTTTCAACCAGCGGCGTTTTTATGTGGCCTGCCATCACCCATTCATCAGAACACTTCCTGACAGCTGCATCATGTCACTGGAAAGTCATTTCATTTTTTTTCCCCAGGGGAAAAGGGCCAGAGAGCTCTGTTTGAGGGCCCTGGACACTGCAGCTCACAATTCCTGCCAACATGACTGAAATCAAAGGTTTTGACATACAGTTTTTGTATCTTGATTTCTGTACCCAAATAGTTTATTATTATTTCTTTTTCTGTTTTGGGGCAATCCAATAAAAGTCGAGTTAAACCAACGATGTTTCCTACTGTTCCTGTAATCTGTAGTGTAATCTTTCTTTAAATCTTTTGCAGATAGATACGTTATTAGTACTTTTTGCTTTGCCATCTTTTTATTATGATTGCCAGTTATACAAATTGTTACTAAACATTCAACACACTGGTGGATAAAGGGGTGGGTGTTTCCTTTATCACTCACAGTGCACAGTTTCAGATAGGTCGTGCAGGACGTGTTGGATGACCACACTGTGTTAGAGAACGTGAAAATGATTTCATTTTGGATAGCTCACTTATGATCCACAAAGGGTGTTGTGGTATTGGTTTTGATAAAACTTCACAACCAATAGGAATCTTTTTTGAGTTAGTGTGGACCGGCCTTAATACTGGAAATAATCCTGTTGGCCAGGACCCCAGAGCTGCACAGATGAGAAAAGGATGCAGGAAATTCTGTTGTTTACACATGTGCCTGTAACACTGAGCCGCTGGAGCAGCCCAGCAAGCCCAGAGGGTAAGATGCTTAATAACCTTGTGGTTTTCTATTTAATTTTTATATTTTCCTGCTGGGGCAAAGCATGTATTCTTCTCGGAGCACAGAAAAAGAGAGTTGCTTGTAAGATGCAGAACAAAACTACTGTCAGCCTGGGAAATTGAGGGATTTGGAACTTCTTCTTAAAATGGACTTGATTTCTTCCCTCCCTTTTGCATTTTCCACATTGGTGTTATTTATACTGACAGCTTGTCATACATTTCCTGTGTTTTAAAAAAACAACTGTATACTAACAAAGCTCAGGTAAGATTTTCAACTCTAAATTTAGACAGTAATGTCATATGTTGATAAGAAAACCTTGTTTTGTATTTCCAAATGAATACGAGTTAGTCAATGTGTTTCAAGTAATCTATATTCTTAGAGTGAAAAAATAGTAGAATTGTTTTGCAAATCCTCATATTTATGCTTCATACCTTTAGAGCTCTTTTCATTGTACTAGTCCTTATGTTGACAGAAAAATATGCTTCAAACTTAGCACTAATATTAATTTCTTTATATAAGTAACCTAGGTAGTGTAGGGAAGAGACAGAATAAAATAATAAAATTCTGTACATAATAAAAGGGAAGAGATACTTTCTACTCTATAGAAATTAATTACAGAACGGAAGAAAAGAAATCTCTGGAAACCATTGGGAAGTATTTGCTTATGTTTCCTGCAAAGATAAATTATAAAATGAATGTTGAGTGGCTCAGTCTGTTAAATAAAAATATAAGGGAGGTAGTCTTTAAAAAATGTAATTGGAAACATGTAAGTAACATATGGCATTGAAATATACAATGATATTTCTTGCTATTCTCATTTACATAAACACGAGTTTTTCTAATTTGCTAAAAACGTTTGAATATACTTTTGCTAATATTTTTGTGGGATAAAGTATTATTACAACTTTTGATTATATATTTAACTGTTAATCATTTTATTGTCAAATATCCTCACATATAAGTTAAATATTATTTAATCCTTACTTTTCTCCATATTTTTACATAAGCATTAGATTAGAAAGGAATCTTGAAAAGCTGGTGATAGGGTATTTGTCGAAGTTGTGTACGATTTTGCACTATTAATTTAAAATATGAAGTCTATTTGAATATTTAGAAAAATGTTTTATATGAATTGCTTTTTTCCCCCAAAACTTAAAAAAAATAGTTTTATTGTAAAATAAGATCATTGAGTAATTTCTGTTTTGCACTCCTCGTGTGTTTTCATTGGATTCAGTAATTACTTGATCACTGGGACATAGCTTCTTGATGCCTCACTATGGGTGTGGCCTTGACATTTATGAGGGTTTCATCTTATTATTAGAGCCACACATGAAGTAATTCTTTAAAATTGAAAATGATCTCAGGCCATTTCTATTTGAAGATACATCATATCTCCTCTGCTTATATTACAAGGTCAGCTGAATTTTG